TTGGGATTGTTATATACTGCTTAAAATTGATACATAATCACAAATCAACATCTAGGGAATTTTTGATTTTTCAAGATAGAAAGCATTATGTTTAACATTTTTGAATTTCATACATTATCAAATTGTTTACATAGAAAGAGTGAGATGAAAGGATAGGATCAAGGATTGCGCACTACAAAAGATTCAATGTAATTGTTTACTTCGATGTCAAAAGAGAAAGAAATAACACTTTGATTTCATGGAATAGAGAAGTACCTAACATTAAAATAGCTATAACAAACCAAGCTTTTAAAATTTTTCTATCCTGTTCTTCTCATACTTCCTTTACAATCAAACAATTAAGTGCTTAAGGACTCGCATCCACACAGATGAGCCATCATTGTTATCCTTGTCCTTCGCATAACAATAATAATTAGGGTAAATTACATTAACTTTCTCTCAGGGTTGGTTTGGGATGTATTTTTGATGTTTCGTGAAAAAACGTACAAAAAGTAGAGATGAAAAAATCTTTGACATTTTGTATAGTTCTTTAACTTTTTGATGCCGTCGCAAATACTCTGCTTTTTTGAGACGGCATTTTCTGCCGTCGCAAAAAGTGACTTTTTGAGACGGCAAGTGTGCCGTCGCAAATAGTTCTGTCTCATATACCCAGTTTTCTTGTAGTGTATATTAAGTTCCCAAACTTACCTTGAGATTTAAAGAAAATATAGTAAGTTCTATAATATAATAAGTTGACTCAAATTGACAATTTTGATGATCAAAATTAAAATTTAAAGAACTAAAATGACAAGGAATGCATACTTTGGGGATTAAAACTATCTTTTATTCATATTCCCGTTATCAATATAGACGAATGTTTAGAACTGTGCAAAATACTATCCAATCCGCAAAAATCGCACCAATTTGTATCAATCTGCATCGTTTTATCCATTAACTGCAGTTTAAACTTTAAAATTTATAAACCGCCCAGTTTTCTTGTAGTGTATATTAAGTTCCCAAACTTACCTTGAGATTTAAAGAAAATATAGTAAGTTCTATAATATAATAAGTTGACTCAAATTGACAATTTTGATGATCAAAATTAAAATTTAAAGAACTAAAATGACAAGGAATGCATACTTTGGGGATTAAAACTATCTTTTATTCATATTCCCGTTATAAATATAGACGAATGTTTAGAACTGTGCAAAATACTGTCCAATCTGCTAAAATCGCACCAATTTGTATCAATCTGCATCGTTTTATCCATTAACTGCAGTTTAAACTTTAAAATTTATAAACCGCCAGCGAAACTGCTCCGCTCCATTATAGTTAATACATATATATTTTTTAACCTACAATGAGATATCAAAGTAAAAATGAATGTGAAAGAGATTTAATATGTGAAATTTATTACAAATTAGTAGTTATATATAAATAATATTATGTAAAATTAGTTTGTGTTATATATATATAAAAAAAATATTATGCAAATTAGTGCTATATATTATGCAAAGGTTTGATAATTTGTTAAAATATTCTTCAATTTACCAATCCGTCCAAAACCGCTCAAATTGCAATTTGTCAATCCGCCAAACCACTATTTGTTTTATAATTTTACTCTTAAACTGTCCGAACTGCACTGCACACACCCCTACGAATGTTACACCTAAGACCAAATTGACTTAAATTGACAATTTTTAAGATCAAAATGACAAAATTGAAATTTAAAGGGCTAAAATGATAAACAACGCATAGTTTAGGGCCTAAAAATGCATTTTATCCCAATTACATTGATGTCCCTTCTAATAAGGTTAACAAAACTGAAAACTAATGCACATATATGAAAACACATAAGTAAACAAAGAATAATATACATTTTAGTGTAAGACGGATGATAATATTATTTTTCCAATTATATGACTAATAGATTTTTGACAAAAATAAGTAAATTGTTGCGTCTGATAAAATTGCAAAAAAAATTAATATAATTATATTAGATTGTGAGACTTACTTATTTTTCAAGAATATCTACTTAATTTGGGAAAATGATTCATGTTCAAATAAATAATCAAGAATCACTTTCTCATTCCAATCCGCTCCAAACGCTAGAATCATAGGAACCCGTAATCACAATCTTATTTGTCCTCAAGATTACAGTCATTCAAACATAATCTAAAGTGGGTAGATAATTAGGTACCCACTAATTTAGGCGGCACCCAAGGCCTCCGTGGATTTCGGTTGTAATTTTTAGACTAACACACAATTCTCATTTCTCAAATTGACTTTGTGACAAAATTTTATTTATTTTAATATCTTATTCCTAACACCCCTTTGGGGAATCTTTGCCACCAAAAAACTTGACTATTTAATGCCCTATCAAGTTGGTCCTAGCAACTTTCATGAAAGTGAATTTGTTTGCACTTTTGGTGCACAATGCCCTAATCACTTTTAATAGTTTTTAATTTTAATTTTTTTAATCTACTTCTAATAGATTCGAATAAGGAAAAATATCAAATTTGCTAAAAATAAAATAAACAATTACATATAACAGTCACCAAATTTAATAATCATAACCCAAATTTGAGAAGTATAAACTACGAATACTTTTATAATGAGAGAAAAATAAACACCACAAAAAATACCAAACTTTTATCTATGAAAGTCGAAGCTCCATGCGTACATCACATAGTGATGTTTAGGTTCTAGTTAAATATATCTTTGATTAGTAATAAATAAAAGAGATTGGATTGGCTCCAATTAGCTTCTAGTCGGATCCACTATGGACCCATTTTGGCCCCATCTTAACAATCTAAACAGTTTATTTTGCAGAATTATTCAAGAAGATCATTTATACCAAAATTCTGCTTAATCAGACATCATTACCCACTTGATTATACCATATTTGTCCCCAAAAAAATAACCATTGTACTTTAAAAACATACTGCATGTTAACTATTTTTTAAACAAATGCGACATGATCAAGTGACTAATGATGTTTGATCAAACTGATTTTTTTGTACGAATTATATGTTCCTTAATTCTAAAAAATAAATAGCTCGAATTTTCAATATGGACCCAAAATGGAACCCTAGTGGTCCAGACCAAGCAATGTCAATTGGCTAGACAATCTAGTCCCTAAATAGAACTAGTTAAAAAAATATAAAAAAAAATGGTTTGCACAAAAAATAAGTTAAGAACTTGAACAATTTCTCTCTAGTGGTGACTTATTTAACACACAAGCTAATAATACTTACCATAAATATGGCCTTATTTACAAAATTTTTGTATATCATGGTGCCCCGAATCCATTGTCGATGCAACCATGGTTAGACTGGTGTGTAAGTTGAGCAAAAATGGGAGCTAAGAGTAACTAAAAAATACCTTCAATTTTCAACCCTTTAAAAAAAAGGAAATGGTGATTTAAGATCATGGTATGGATTTTTATACCCAATACAAAATTTAAAAAGAAAATTTATTTTATTTATTTCAATAATAGAATCAGGGAACTTTGGCAAAATGGAACTCTAAAAAAGTTTAGTTTTTTCAGAAAATCATGGTCTGTACTGGGACTCATTTGAAAATTGACTTTTTTAATCATTTTTTATTTTTTATTTTTTATTTTTTATGAAAATTTGTATTAAAAAATAGAGATAATGATTTAACAACATTTTTTTTTTTACTAAAAACCGTACTTCCCAAAGAAGGCTACATGCATTATCATCAAGCCAAGTATGTGTGAACATTGCAATTGATATCATATTTATGAAAATCAACTACAATTAACAATTCATCCTATTATGTTCCACAATTATGGCTGCCATGGTAGCACATATTCCAGACATTTAAAAATAAAATAAAAATTAATGCAATATTTGGATTTTGAAAGTTTTCAAAAACTTGAGGGAAAAAAAGAAAGAGAAAAAGAAAAATAATTAGCTTCTATTTTTTTCCCTCTACAAATTTCGTATCCAGACATATTCTAAGTAAACATAAAATGAAATACACTAAAGCCATGTTTGAATGACAAGAATTTTGAAAGGGAATTTTTTTTTTTTTTTTTTTGAAAAGGATTTTTTTGAAAGGGAATTGTGTCAATCCTATTCAAATGCTTGGTTATTGAGAATTCTCAATGGAAAATTAATAAAATTTTAATTATTTTATGTCTAATTATTTTTTTTTTAACTCTTAAATGACTTACATTTGTCCAGGAATATGAGATTTCCATAGAGAAGTGGATGAATCAGATTCCTACTTAATTTGGGAAAATGATTCATGTTCAAATAAATAATCAAGAATCACTTTCTCATTCCAATCCGCTCCAAACGCTAGAATCATAGGAACCCGTAATCACAATCTTATTTGTCCTCAAGATTACAGTCATTCAAACATAATCTAAAAGAATTGTCATTTCATAGGAGGATATGATTTCATTTCATCCTATATTCATTTCAATGAACTAAATATCAGATAATTACTTTTGACTCATTAAACAATTTTTATACCAAGAAAAAAATTGATTGGAATCCAGAGAAACTATTATGTTGCAGAGCAAGACATAAAATATACATGTACAAACATATTAATATTTTTTTTTCTTGGGCAGGTAGCGAAGATAGTAATATTAATACATCAAAAGAATAAAATCTCTGAACAATATGTAACTAGTGAATAAAAGCTTATAAAATGACATCAAATAATGATTAAAAAAAAGAGTAATGCTAGGAATACCAAATTTTCTACCAAACAAATGACCAAATGTCTCACATGGGTGTGGGGTCCACAATTTTGTGGGCCACACACCCATATGAGACATTTGATCATTTATTTGGTAGAAAATTTGAGACCTCTAGTATTTTCCTAAAAAAAAACTTAAGACTTAAAAGCCTATGATGCCCACAAAAACAAATATGGTAATCATTATCGAACATGGGTGACACCTCATAGTTGAAATTTTAAACTCCCCAAAAAATTCAACTACTCCTAAAGTTATTATAAATATAATGTCCCTTGTACTATAGTTTCCCTAAAAATTCCCTAACTAGAAATTGGATTCTCTCTCTCCTAATGAGTCCGAGCCACGGTATCATCACCATCTTCTTCTACCTCATTCTCCTCCTGGTCTCAAGTGTCGATGCCTTCACGAGACAAAGCACGTACATAAATTACATGAATCAATTTTTGGCTCCTCAAAATGCAGCTCGATCCGCCCTGCGCATGCAACCATTGGCATGGGACGTGAAATTGGCGCGTTATGCAAAGTGGTATGCCAACCAAAGGCGATTCGACTGTGATTTGAAGCATTCCAATGGACCTTATGGGGAGAACATTTTTTGGGGGAGTGGCAACAACTGGACCCCGGCTCAGGCGTCTGCGGCGTGGGTTTCGGAGCGAAAGTGGTACAATTATGGGTCCAATTCATGTACTGGTGGACAAGAATGTGGGCATTACACACAGATTGTGTGGAGCAGTACAAGGAGAGTTGGGTGTGCCCGGGTGACTTGTTCTGGTGGTAGGGGTGTCTTCATGACTTGTAACTATGACCCTCCTGGGAATTTCATTGGAGAAAAGCCATACTGAATGGTTTGTTTGTTTGTTTTTTTTTTTTTTTTTTTTTTTTTTTTTTAAGGGTATTGATCAAAATGGGATGTATCATATATGACCCTTGTAATTTGGTTTTTGAGGAATTTTTTTGTTTTCCATTTTGTAGTAATAATGTTTATCTTGGAAGTTCTATCATAATAACAATACCCAAAAATAAGCTATCCCCCAAAATTATTGTAAAATCAAATATGTAAATTTATTAAAAGTATGGCCATACCTCATCTTTGAATCTACATTATATGCTTTAATTTTTCTTAAAAACCTTTCAGATTTATTTATTTATTTTTTTTTTTTTTTTTTTTTTGGGGGAACAATTCATAACAGCCCTTGGTTGACACAACAATTTAACTATTTGTTGGACCATTTTAATATCTTATATTTATTTATTGGTTTATCTTTTTCATAAATGGGGTTTTATTACTTTGGTAACCTCTTGGTCATAAATGGAGATTAAATAGAATTCATGAACTTGGTTAATGGTCATTATTTTGGTGTAACCATTTTTTTTATTTAATGGTCATTACTTTTTGGTGTAACTGTAAGGTCCTAGTGGCCTATAAATAGTCCCTTTCATCTACTTTTTTCTACACCACTAACACATCAACTATTTTCTATACAAGGGAGATTACTACCAAAGAAGGGTATTTTATTGGTGGAGTTTTGGGTTCACCATCTTGTGCAGAGTTGGCCTGAACCATACGACAAGTGGTCGGACTGTTGTATCCTGGAGGGGACAAGTCATAGTTTTGTGACTGCTGCATCGGTATTGGGGTTCTTCCTACCACAGTGGGCTTGATCTCCTTAGAGAAAACGAGATATCCGTGTCTCAGCCTGATCTATTTGTATCTTATTTTCTTTGCATCATTTATCAATAAAATATAATTTTTTCTAGTATTTTCACCAACAATTTTAAGGAGATCAACCATGGAACAAGTACCAGAGAAAACCAATGATGGAATTGAAGATCTCAACAAGCCTTTCAAGTTCAAAGGAGTTCATTTTAAGAGGTAGAAAGGAAAAATTCTTTTTTACCTTAGCCTTTTGAAAGTTGCATATGTTCTTACCGAAAAGAATCCAAACAAAATCCCAACCGAGGTGATGAATGATGAAGACTACGAGGCACATGAAGCAAAAGTGGCATCCTATAATATAGATGAGTATAAATGTCACTTTTATCTCTTAAATTTCCTTGCTGATTAATTTTATGATTATTAGTATGACACCACTTACACTTTGTCTTCTATTAATTTTTGGCATGCTCGCTTGTGTCATATAAATAGTAAATATGTCGGAATCATGAGTAGTTTAGAGTTAATTACTAAAGTGACAAAAAATTTTGAGAAATGTGAAGTTTGCAGTAAAGCAAAAATTATCAAGAGGCCTCATAAAAGTGTTAAAAAAATACCGAATTGCTAGAATTATTTCATACTAATTTGGGTGAGTTTGAAGGAATTTTAACTCGGGGTGGTAACTGATATTTTATCACTTTTATTGATGATTTTTCAAAATACACAAACGTATATTTATTAAAAAATAAAAGTGATGCTTTTGAGAAATTTAAAGAATTCCTTCTCGAAGTGGAAAATCAATTCGATAAAAAGATTAAAAGAATTATAAGTAATAGAGGCCGAGAGTATGAATCTCTTGGATTCAACTCTTTTGTTCAGTCATTGGGAATTATCCATAAGACTACTCCACCATATTCACCTTCATCTAATGGCGTAGCTGAAAGAAAAAAACATTAATTGACTTGACGAATGCTATGCTTATTGATTCAGGTGCTCCCTCAAATCTTTGGGGCGAGGCTATTTTGACAGCTTGCCATGTGATGAATAGAGTGCCACACAAAAAGACTAAAATTGTACCTTATGAGTTGTGGCGGGGGCATAAACCAAATCTAGGTTATTTGAGAGTTTGGGGTTATTTAGCTTTTGTGAGGCTTGCAGATCCTAAACGACCTAAATTGGGTAAACGAGCTACCACCTGTGCTTTTCTTGGGTATGCATTGCATAGTACAACTTATAGATTTTTTGATATGAAAAATAATATTATTTTTGAATCAGGTGATGCTATTTTTCATGAAATAAATTTCCTTTCAAATCTAGAAATAGTGGGGGTCAAATAATTTCTGAAAATATTTTATCTATGCCTAGCTCTTCTACTCCTTCTCAAGTTTTTCAAGAAAAAGAAAATTTTCAAATCCAACCAAGAAGAAGTAAACGAGCTAGAGTTGAAAAAGATTTTGGCCCTGACTATTATCTTTACAATGTAGAAGAAATTCCTCATACGGTACAAGAAGCTTTATCATCACCTGATGCTATTTTCTGGAGAGAGGCTGTAAATGATGAGATAGACTCACTACTTTCAAATAAAACATGGAAGTTAGTAGATTTACCTCCAGGTTATAACACTATTGGGTGTAAATGGGTCCTTCGTAAAAAACTTAAATCGGATGGAACTATAGATAAATATAAAGCGAGGCTTGTCGCTAAAGGTTTTAAGCAACAAGTTGATCTTGATTTCTTTGATACTTTTTCTCCGGTTACTAGAGTAACATCCATTAGACTGTTGATTGCAGTGGCTGCAATTCATGATTTAAAAATTCATCAAATGGATGTAAAAACAGCAATGCTTATTAGGATTTATAGGATTTTATGGTAGGTTTAATTGAAATTGGAGTTATAATAATCAAATTTGAATAAATAATGTTAAATTACTTTAGCTAGAGTTATTTACATGTATGCCATTGGTGGGCCTTACAAGACCATTTGTTTGATCTTATATATGATTGATACATCAATCTTGTTACATCTCCTTGCAAAAACGTGAGAGAGAGGAGAGTAGAAGAAAATTGAGTTCTACAAGTGTGTTGCTTGAAAATTTAGAGGAAATTGGAGAAAATTTGAAGAATTGTTCATTAGCTCAAGAATTTGGCTTAAGAGAAGCTTGATTGAGAAGCCTAGGTAAGAGCTCAACCTTTTAATATTGAAATTGAGCCATCTAGGACTTGCATATGAATTAAATAGGTGAATTAATGGGAGAATTGAGCTTGAATTTAAGGGAGCTAAGTTAATTCATGCACCAGTACTGCGCGTACCATCAGCAAACTGGCCATACTACCGACAACTGCTTTCGTCTTCGCCACAAAGTACAGGATCTGTTTGACAACGGAATCAAAAGGAATATGCTAGCATGATTGGTAGTTTGAGATATGCTACTGACTGTACTAGACCTGACATTGCATATACTATTGGAGTACTTAGCAGGTTTACTAGCAAGCCAAGTCGAGATCATTGGCTAGCCATGGGAAGAATTATGAGATATTTATCTGGAATCAAAAATTATGGTTTGTTTTATAACAAGTATCCTGCGGTACTTGAGGGATATAGTGATGCCGATTGAAACACTTTGTCAGGTGATTCTCTCTCTACCTCGGGTTTTATTTTTACCTTGAGTGGTGATGCTATATGTTGGAAGTTTAAAAAACAGACAATAATTGCTAATTCTACAATGGAAGCTGAGCTTATAGCGTTGGCTTCAGCATGTGAGGAAGCGAATTGGTTAAGAGATTTGTTACATGAAATTCCTTTTTGGAAAAAACCAATTCCTCCTGTGTTAATTCGTTGTGATAGCATTGCTGCTATTGATAGAGTAAACAATCATTTTTATAATGGGAAATCTAGACCTATTCGAAGGAAACACAATAATGTGAGATCCTATTTGAGTAATGGCATCATAACTGTGAATTATGTAAGATCTTGTGATAATCTTGCGGATCTGTTAACCAAGGTCTTGGCGAAAGATAGGGTCTGGAATATATCGAGTGGGATGGGTTTGAAGCTTATAAAATCATAAACCATGTATGAGACCTAGGGACCAGAGATCCTGTAACTAGGTTCAATGGGAAGAACGAATCATATGGTGGTTGTAAAAAATGCACTCTTTAATATTTTGTTATCCATCCCTATGATGTAAGTGCATTTGTCCCGTAATGTTGGAGGGTTGAGTTTTTATACTCTTAATGAAATTCTGTAGCTCTTGTTGAGTGGGGTGTGTAAATTAATTTTTAATATTTAAAAAATAATAATTAAAAACTCAACCAAATGGAACCTAAGCCGAGGAGGAGCGACAAATTTTCTAGAAGCAAATAATCTCTTTGTTGTGCCATGTCAGCAGTACACAAACAAACAGTGCCTTGTTTCGGAGAAGTTATTAGTCAGTTTCATCCTGTGCGTGCAAGACATGTGTGGGTTTCTGTCCAAAAAGCCAACGGCTGATAACTATTGGACCATATGGAGCCAAAAACCAAACTGTAGGGGCAAAATTGATGCAATTAGAAGTACATGGACCAAAATGAAACCACAAGTAAATTATAGGGACCATTTCTGTAATTTGCCCTTAACTATAAATTGGAAAAGAATAGTTGAATAATAGTATACAATACAAGATGAGATGATATTAGAAATATGCTACTATTTGTCATATTTCATAATAAAGTTTGGGACTGGTAAATTATGCAAATGGTCTTTATAGTTTACACGATATATTAATTTGATCCTTATTATTTTAATTTGCTCAATTTTATTCCTTAATTTAATAGATTGTGTTATATTGGTCCAATAAATAACGTCCATTAGGTTTGGTAAGTAAACGAGCTAGAGTTGAAAAAGATTTTGGCCCTGACTATTATCTTTACAATGTGGAAGAAATTTCTTTTACGGTGCAAGAAACTTTTTATCACCTGATGCTATTTTCTGGAGAGAGGCTGTAAATGATGAGATAGACTCACTACTTTCAAATAAAACATGGAAGCTAGTGGATTTACCTCCAGGTTGTACAACTATTGGTGTAAATGGGTCCTTCGTAAAAAACTTAAACCGGATGGAACTATAGATAAATATAAAGCGAGACTTGTCGCTAAAGGTTTTAAGCAACAAGTTGATCTTGATTTCTTTGATACTTTTTCTCCAGTTACTAGAGTTACATCCATTAGACTGTTGATTGCAGTGGCTGCAATTCATGATATAAAAATCCATCAAATGGATGTAAAAATAGCATTTTTAAATGGAGATCTAGATGAGGAGATTTACATGGACAAACCCGAAGGCTTTGTGGAGCCTGGCCAAGAAAGCAAGGTGTGTAAGCTAACTAAATCCCTTTATGGTTTAAAACAAGCTCCTAAACAGTGGCATGAGAAATTTGATTCCTGCATGCTTGAGGATGGCTATAAGACGAATGAATGTGATAAGTGCATATATAATAAAACTTGTGAAAATGCACATGTGATTATTAGCCTATATGTGGATGATCTACTTATCTTTGGCTCTAATTTGCATATTATAAAGGAGACTAAAAATATGCTTAATAGCCACTTTGATATGAAAGATCTTGGTGAAGCCAAATTTATTTTGGGAATTAAAATTATCAAGACTAATGATGGTATTTTTCTTGATCAGTCGCATTATGTTGAGAAAATGTTAAAGAAATATAATTTTCTAGACTGTAAATATGTTGTTACTCTTTTTGATGCAAGCATACATTTGTCTGTTGTAACAAATGAAAAAGAAATGATTAATCAAAAGGAATATGCTAGCATGATTGGTAGTTTGAGATATGCTACTAACTGTACTAGACCTGACATTGCATATGCTATTGGAATACTTAGCAAGTTTACTAGCAAGCCAAGTCGAGATCATTGGCTAGCCATGGGAAGAATTATGAGATATTTATCTGGAATAAAAAA